TCTTTTCTTCCTAGTATGTGCTTTGCTTGTTGGCCAAAAGGAGAATTTCATTTAAGATCAGGAGTCACTTAGCTAGGGTCTAATAACACCCCTTCCTTTTTAAGATCAAGCAAAAAGGAATTTAATGGTTCCATGACGGCAAATTGTGGAGTTATTGTATGGCAGCAAGAAATCGTAATATTGACTTCGATATAGCTTATGTTTGACTGTTTGCTGTTAACAAAGTTTTATTGACAAAAAAATTTCCCGGTCATAGTAAAGTTTACATAAGCTTAATCACGACTTCCTTCCTGTTGACCACTTTCGTTTAAAAATCGAGAAAAAGCTTGCATATTTTTTCAAAAAACAAACCTCAGAAAGGTCTGTAAACTTAATTAATTAAGCTTAATTGTAATATTATTTGTTATATTAACTGCATTATAAACTTCAAGTTTACCCGGTCAATGATGTAAAGAATGTCCCCTTCTTCAAAACTTATCTCGTCTGGCTGCAAAGGGATAAATGGGAAAAGCATTTTAAGACGTTTTCGCTGGAAAAACCCCAAAACATCTCACTACGACATGTCTCCAAAATCTAGATGGATTTGTTTATACCTGTTGGGCTGTGTAATTGAACAAAGCCCTCACAACTTGCACATGATCTGGAAGAAGAACATACAATTACAGTAAATATATGGATGATCAAGGAAAAAACTAGTCATTCGACGACTACCTGGCCTAGGAATTGGAGGTGGTGGTCTCCGAGGAGTCGACATTTTGAAAGCAAAAGCAAAATATCAGGAAGTGACGTTCTACGCGTGCGTGGTACATACGAGCCAGCAGTAGGTAAGTGATTTTGTCTGCGGTTTACCGAAATAAGGTTATAGACGCTATGTATGTTCAAAAAACAAAATGGCGAATCTCTGAAAGCGTTTGCAGAGTATTGCTTGGCAGGTTTCTGGTGATGGATAAACTGGAGGAATTGTACAGTTTAGTATTTAGCAGCAGTTGCTTCAAAGAAGCCTATCAAAAACGAATTTTTGATACGCTGGGGGATCTAAATCCTCATCAATCTCAATCAACCATTGATATCGATCAAGACAATTCATTATTGGTGATGCTGACTGTGATTCAGAAACTCTTTCAAGGACTTAAAACAGTCCATTGTCCATACTTAAGAAGAATTGCTGATGATCTTGTCGAGGAAAAACTTCTAGTGGACAAACTGTTGGATTGCCTCGGTCATAGAAATCAACATGTTGTATTTTCGGCAAGTAAAGCCATTGTCATAGTTTTGCAGATGCTTTCTGAGCAAATGATCAAAGTGAACTGGTTTGACAGTCTCATTAATTTCATTTGTTTTGGGAAAGAAAGTGAACATCCATGGAGAAAGCTATACATTATGGAATTAATTAGAAAAGTTCTCCAAGACTCTAGAAACACTGTTAATCAGAAGATTGAAGATGAAGATTTTCAACAAGTTGAAAATCAAGCATGTTGCCGTGAACATGGTCAAGATGTAGTATATTCTTGCATTCCAGGGAGTAAATTAGCTAAGTTGTTTTTAAGGCACTTTAACTTTCAGCACATTTTGTTTGCATTCATCCCTTTTGTTACCAGACCAAATGGACTATATTCGTTTATGAAATCATACCTCCATGTTGGTGCCTTGGGGGACTTTGTTACACTTCAGGCATGTTTGAGATTTGAAAAAGCAATTCATGATCAAGAAAAAGTTAAAAAAGATCCTATCAGTGGAATCAAAGAATGTAACTTGATAGCATTTTTAAACTGTCTTACAGAGATTGCAAAATGTTTGCACAGCAAGTGTTTGCTCAGTTTTCCGTGCCCAGAATCAACTGAAAACCATTATAGTATGGTAACTGAATCTGCTGATGAGTCAGTAGGCAAGACTCAGCCTGAAGATGGAAATCATTTGCAAATAACAAGTACTACCACACAACTTGGCACTATTGTGTCAACTTTGATCCAGTACCTACATTACCCAAGACTATCATCAGTAATTTTCAAGAAGATTTTGGAGGTCTCGAATCAAGTCATTATTATACCTAGCTCTACTTTATCCAACCAGAAAGGTGGCTGTACAGATTTCACAAAGATGATAAGAACTGCTTCAGTCTCTTATCTAAGTGTTGTTGAATGCTGTCTCCTCGACAAAGTACCAAAATGTTTTGGAAGGACTGGATTTTGTGGAACCGAAATAAACAGTTCTGGCCCCTCTATTGCACTTGAAACTCAAAGAGAGTGCATAGATCTTGTTGCACTTCGTAAAGCTGGGCTAATTCTTATCAAGTCTGCATATATTGTGTTAAAGATGGCTCAAAATCAAGAAGGTAAAAATAAAATGTTTCGATTTTTCTCTATAGTATTGAAAAATAATAATACCAGTTACAGTCTACCTCTTTATCTTGGTGTTTGTAGTAAGGAAAATTGACTGTACTTGTCTATATATTCAGGGCACCAAATTAACTTTTTCAGGGGCCACTTGGCATTTATGAATTTTATCTTTCACAGTGGTGGCCAATTCTCATAAGTTGGTTGCCAGGTTCTTTTTATTTTGTTTTCAAGCTTGATTAACACCAGTAAATGCAAAACTTGTCTTTGATCCACTCTGCTATAGTTTGTTTTGAACTACTTTTTTTCTAAAAAGCCCCCTTGTTTATCAGCCCCTCCATTTGTAAGCCCTTCTACAATCCGTTACCAAGATGTATATACACCCAAGGCTTACGTAGCAGTGTTTGATAAATCAATACCATTCGAAAGTAATGCCTTAAAGAGGGTCCAATCCATAAAGCATTATTGACAGAACTTAAATATCAGGCTCAGGGTTGCCATATACTGAGGACACAAACGTATTTCTGGTCGTTGCTTCTCTCCAGCCAAGAGAAGCAACAACCGGAAATACGTCTTTGTCCGCAGGCTATAGGGTTGCTACTCTTAAAAAAAAAAATGACTGTTCACTGACCTTGCATTTTACAATTCTCTTCAGTTTTCTCGCAGGTTATAGATATTCTTTACTTTTTTCCACAGCATATGGTGATGGTTAAAAGAATTTCCAGACAAAGGAAATGATTGTCTTAAAAAGGACTTTTACCCTTTTTTTACTTGACCTTTCACTGACTTTGCCAAGATCTACGATTTTCCATGATTTTAAAAAACCTTGTTTTTGCTAGAGATTCCTACCCTGCAAACACAGATGTATTTCTGGTCATCACTTTTTTCCACCCGAAAATTGGAGAAAAGAGGGTGGAGAGAAGCAACGTCAAGAAATAAGTCTTTGTTCACAGGATCAGAGATTACCACTAGATAACACATTCCTATAACTGAATTCAGGAGTGAAAAGTTTAACTGAGATGATGTTTTTGCAGGATCATTGGTATTTCAGAGGTTGAGTCTTTCTTGTGTCAGTTTGTGGTGTACTCATCTGCCGAGTGTTGCTCCCAACATGCTGCCCCTCAATGACACCAAGCAAAATTGCAATCACCATGAATTTCATTCCCTCCTGGTCTCACTCTTTGTCGATGAAGATGATGAACTTGTGGAAATTCTGTTACTTCTGCTGTTTCTGTACGAAGAGACCAAAAGGTAATTTTTTTTCCAAAGGTGAATGTTGCTACATGTTTATTTGCTTTAGAGTTCTCAAATTAAAAAGCTACTTACAGAGAACTTAAAGAATGATTGAAATTTTAATATATTAATACTTTTTAATTGGCTGCGAAGCTTGCAGGAATAAAACAAAAGAAATCACTTTGAGGCACAGCAATGAATAATACATGTCTTTTGTATTATTCTTTCAAGCCTCAGAGCCAAGTATGAGTTTTAATATACTGAAATTAGTCTATTGACTAGCCTTCTGTGGAGGCAGCTCTTATTGTAATGGTTACACTGACCGTGAGGAGTCTGAGAATGAGAAAACGAGAAAAAAATGAGGAGGAGTTGGTATCACTGTTACTCCCCATTCTCTCCCCATTCTCCCACTCGCTCTCTAAAACAGGACAGTGAAGCTTGTGGAGGAGGCTGTCTATTGGCCATATTTTAAACAAGAGGGGAACTGGTTCAACTTATGACTGCAAAGGCTCTAGGAATCGTTTGGAGGGACAGCAAATACATCATGGACAGCCGCCAGCCTCCAGTTAAAGATGAAAGGTTATTCTAACTGAAGAAGACATACAAGTAGTGGCGGATCCAAACCTTCAGATAAGGGGGGGGGGGGGTCATCCAGACCCTGAGGTAAGGGGGGGCAGTCTCAAAAGAATTTTTTCAGTTTTTTCATTTTTCAGTTTGATGTAAAAATAAGAGGGGTGTGGGCCCCCCAGGGCCCCTCCCCTGGAACTGCCTTTGACATGTACCTGTTGTATCAGGGTTTTTAGGAATTCTCTTGTAGCAAAGATTTGTTGCATTTTTTGAAACTATAATAATTGCAGTTTGGAACATAGTAGTTGTAGCATGCCTTGTTTGTTGGTCTTCAGGCTGTCTCTCCAAAGGATCCCAAGAAACTTTGTGGACACATATCATGCCTAGTTTCCCATTTGTTTAGAACATGGTGAATTGGCTACTCTGCAAGCTAAGTACATTGTCCATTGGAAAAATGCGAGAAAGCTTGCAGGTTGGTTGCCATGCAAGCTATGCCATTATGAGCTATTAACCATTCAAAATATATTTCTCCTTTTTATTACTCACTTGAGGGCTGTGTCACGGGTGGCTAGTATATTTTGTTTATGATGCCAGTTACCCATCCTTATTCGCTGTGGAACTTGAGAAATTATTACTTGTGAATGATGACCAAATCACAACTTTGTGTCAGACAAATATGTCTCCCAAACATTATTTCAAACATTACAAACAACGAAAATTAACTTTTAATAACTGTTAAAGCAAGTTTTTTAAAACCAACGTTGTAATCTGTTTCTATTTTCAAGTTTGTCCATGAGTGACTCCTCTTACATTTACCATTTACATTTTGAGTGGTTATTTTTATGTCTCATGACTCAACTTGTCGGCAGTCCTGGGCCATAGTTTCCACTGCTTGAATTTAATAAATTTTGTGACACGGCTTCCTTAAACTCCTGGCTATTTCTTCATAACCAGCCTGGCACTGACCAAATTTGGAAGATATTTGCCGATATGTATACTAATAGCAGGGTGCCAAGAAAGTCAGTTTTACTGCTTGCCATTTAGGCAAACTGCCTAAAACCTGGAATCTGGAATCCAGATGAAGCCCATGCCAAAAGCTAAATGACTCTGAAGTTTAGTGATTAGGGTTAGGAAACTGAGTGAATCAAGTTTCAGGTCAGTTTGAAGGGAACCAGATTCACTCAGTTTCCTAACCCTAATCACTTAACTTCAGAGTCATTCGGCGTTTGGCAAAGGCTTTTTCCGGATTCCGGATAATTTCCGGATTCTGGTTTTCAGCAAACCTGGCAAACTGTATCCAGCCCAAAAACTCATTTCCACTAGCCCCAAAAATATTTTGACTGAGCATTGATTATAGTTCTTCTGTAATAAGAATTCCCGAAAAAAACATTCACTAGTCGATTGGGCAAGTTAAGTACAGAACTTGCTAGCCCAATAACAAAATCACTAGCCCCAGGCTATTGGACACTACTTTCTTTGTAAGCTCTGCAAGGCGTGGTGACTTAGCTGCTTGGGCAATGTAGAGCTGGAGAAAATAGCAGAAGAATTCACACATTATATGAAGACCAAATGGCCCGACATACCTCAAAAACGTAGCTAAAACGGGCATCAATACCAGCTGCCAAGTGAATATGAAACTGCCGCAGTGGAACGGAACGGGGGAAAGAACTTTATGTCAAGCCATCATAGTCGTCCATATAATTTGCCTCACTTACTATCTTGACCTGCTCCGCTTACTAGAGATGCTTTGCGTGCTTGAGGTGCTTAGCTTACTTGAGGTGCTTTGTTTACTTGAGGTGCTTTGCTTACTTCAGGTGCTTTGCTTTCTTTGGGTGCTTTGCTTGGGCGGCCAGTTCTGTCTTTAGCAAGCGCCCTGAGTGTTCATCACTCCTCGACATGGAATAGCTTTCTATGGATAGTTAAAAAGGATGTTCCAAATAATGGAAGAAGACAATGATCTCTTAGTGAAGAGAAAAAAAGGAAGCCCACACTAATTGGAGTGACGTCAGCAGATGTTCACATGATATGACATGGATCTTTAATTGAGTTGGGGTAATTGAGCAACTTCGAGGTGCGCCAACAAGAACATCACTCATGAATCTGCGCTGTTTTGAACTTCATCGTAATCACCACCTTGGTCAATTTAGGGAATTATGGCATTTGTTCTTATTTGTTTTGTCCTTTGTCTTGTTTATTTGTTGCGCAGTCGTTGTGCGGAAGCACCTCAAGTAACCGAAGCAAGCAAAGCATCTCAAGTGAGCAAAGCATGTCAAGTAAGCAAAGCATCTCAAGTAAGCAAAGCACCTCGGGCAAGGAGAGCATCTCAAGTAAGCAAAGTACTGTAAGTAAGGAAAGTACCTCGAGCAAGCAAAGCATCTCAAGCAAGCAAAGCATTTCAAGCAAGGATGCAGGCAAATGATATGGATGACTATATGATGGCTTGACATGTGACATGTTGACACGCGCTTTTATCGAATGGTGGTGGTCACTCTAAAGTCATTGCATTTTCTTTAGACTGCACAAAAGTCCGTATTTTTGCGTATTCAAGTACGCGCGAGCAGTCAAACAAAAGGTCTTGAGCGAGGCTGAAAACAAGAGCGAGACTGGGGAGAGACGCTAAAAATACGTAGGGCATGTGAGGCACGCGCACTTGGCGCGTGGGTGAATCTTACGCAACGTTAAACCGCTTTTGAGAAGAAAAAAACGACTGTATTGCAGTTTACGTTTTCCTGTGTGTTTCTCTTTTCTTGACCAAGAACATCCCCCTCAAATGTTAAAACTTGATACCTAAATGAAATTTGTATTTGTTGTTCAAAGGTCTGTCAGTTTTTGTAAACTGGCAGGCGCCTGTGAAATTTTTCATTTTATAAATCAAAATTTCCGTTACGAATTTGCATCCCACACGCAAGAGTGCAGTGTACAGCTGTATAGCGACTAGACGTGCCCACTTGACAAGCCACGGAGTGCCGAAAATCAGGAAACAAAGAAAATATCATGCGCACTCTAAATCTAAATGATCTGTTTTAGCCCCCCAAAATGGGGCCCTTTCGGTGAGTTCAGAGTAAGGGTTGATTTGGACCTATGGGTAGAAATGAGCGTGGGCCGGAATAGGTATTTGATGGGGCTGTTTTGGCTTAAATTTTGCTCAAATGGTCCCAGGAAAGGCTGAATTGGCACTTTGAGGCTGAAACGGTGTTGTTGTTTTTTAATTTTCAAAATGTTTTTTTCGACTTAAAGAAGGAAGAACGAAGAAGGAAGACTATTTTGGCTAGCCGAAATATTGCGAAAATTAAAAATATACTTTGTTTAAAAAATTCTGCAGTATTTCCAGCGTTTATAAGTAATATTTGGATTGATTAGTGTTATTTATAGATCCAACATTAACATCAACATCATCCTTGCTTGCGGCTTTTGCTGTCCACGTATTTGAAAAATTCGTGTCCTGATACAAAGCGAAAAAAACTAGGAGTGAAGGCCCAGCGAAAAGAGGAGAAATTTCTATAACCGCGAAGCACGTAATAAAAAGTATATGCGTTTTTTTTTTGTAAGAATGCCTTATTTTATGGCCGATGCTTTATGTTTTTTGTAAAAGCATTCTTCGCGACATTTTGTCAAATTCTTGTTTCTATTTTGTTCTGCAATGCATGTACATAATTATCTTCGTGAAATTAACGGAAAGCTCAAAATATTTTTGGGTTAATTTTTTCCAAAAATATACACAACAAAGAAGTGAGAGGAAACTACAAAGGTTTAAGAATACAAATGACCAACTTGATCAATATGTATAAACCGTCAGAAACTCCATTTATTTCAGCCCCAACGTTCCTACTCAGAGGATCTAACATTGCACATCTCCAAACCCCAACTTCTTCCCCTTGATTCTTGTGTTCACAATATTCGTAGGAGAGCGAACCTATAGTTATTTATTTGGTATTGCGGTTTTCTATTTTAGGAATGTACCTAGTAGCGAAATTTCAGCAAGTATTTCACGCCAGTTGAATCCTCATTGGCTGTTCACAGCGTTTATGGAATCAATTGATTTTGATCAGTCGCTCCTGCTTGATCTTCTTATTTCTTCGGAAACGAGATTCCTCGAGTACCTTCTAAAGTACCTCCACTTCGTAATTAGCGACTGGAAGGCATTTATTCAGTGCCTGGAGAGCTATAAGGGAAATGCTAATTACCACGAGGTAGAAGCTACGGGAGAAGATTTCATCAGCTTGGACCAAAAGCAATTGGAGTCGGTTTTTGGTCTTTCAAATGATCAAGTGGCGGAGGAAAACAGGCAATCATTTTGTAGGAAACAGAATAAACCAGCTGCAGAAGACGGTGTTGTTTTGAAGAACAAAGAAATTTCAGTCTCTGGGGAATCTTCCTTAAACACTGACATTAATGGAAGTTTTATCAGCTCCCAAAAGCCCGGAAGAAAACGGGGCGCGTCTCGCGGGCACGTTTCCGACGCTGTGTACAGCTCGGAAATCTCCAACCAACCCATTTGTGGTGTTCCGAAGAAGAAAAATCAAAGAAAAGTTGGTGAAATAATTGGCTTGAAAGGCATTGCCATGGCGTACTCTTCAAGCGATGAGTCGGACGTGGAAGTTGAAGATAATGGCGAGGATGCTGGATCTCCCATTCAAGTAAATGCGTTCAACAAGAACACAAGCGCATCTTGCCTGCATTCTCAAACAACAACATCTCTTTCACTGGATGACGGAAACCTGAGTGTAGGCACATTTGATAGTCAACCGGAGCGCGAAAACACTCCGACATCAACTGTTTTATTATCTGAGAATTTAGACAAGATCATGACAATGTTGATTCGGCTGAGGATCACCATAACAAGACTCTCAAAGACCGGCCATTTTCCTTATTGTGCTTCTCCATTATTATCGCTAATGGAGACTGTTGAAAAAACTTACGACGGCTGTTAAATAGTAGAGAATCCCTGCCGTGAATAACTTTTCTTGTTATGTAGCTGGAAATTTCTTCCTAACAGCGCGCGCTCTCATTGGTTACGTCGAGGTCACATTACAACTTACAATGAAACTGTTTCCCGCCAAAATCTCTGAGCGGGCAACATTGCAAAGAAGATTTATTTTCATCTGATTTTCATAAATAGGCTCTTTGCATGACTTGATCACGTGATCAACTTTCGGTAAACACGAAAACAGTTCACTTTTGAAAAATTTTGTTAGAACAAGGTGAAAGAGCAAATTAAAAATAGCTAATCTGAGCATTTTCAGCCTTATATCTCAAAAGTAGTGATTGCAACGGCCGCCGAAAGTTTGAAGCATTTGTATGAGAAAAACAACTTTTGCCATCCAGTCACCCTTGCATGGTTTTCCATACAAATCCTTGTAATTTCGAAATTTTCAAAACTGTCATGAAATCTTTCCTTAAGCATTACAGGGCTCAAATCTCCTTTTAATTCATAACAGACAATTTGAGCCTAAGAAATGATTACACGACAGTTTAAAAATTTTAGAATTTACAAGGATTTGCAATATTAGTCACGTGACGATCAAATAGTTTAAGGTGGCTCGACTGGATTTTTCAGAGGCAATAACTCCTAAGATTGAGAATTAAGGGAGCTGTGTCACGAATGTTATCAAAAATTCTAACTCTTGGAACTGCCTCCAGATTGAGTAAAACACAAAAATAACCGCTCAAAACATTAAAAGAAGGTAAAAATAACGCAGCAAATACAAAAGGAGGCACGGATGGACAACCTTCAAGAAGATTAAAACGGATTGCAGTTGTGGGTTTTTGAAAAGTTCATTTTTGTTGTTTGTAACGTTTGATATAATGCTTTGGAAGTGTATTTGTTGAACAATAAGCTTTGATTTTTTGGTTTGCAAGTAATTTCTTTGTTAAGGTTAAGCTCCATAGCTCATAAGGAAGCGTAATTGACAATATTAACAAAATGAGCGAGAAAGCCATGACATGACGTGGCCCTTTAACAACGTGACCTTAAACCAAGATATGGAGTGTTTACACATGACGTCACGGGGGCCATATTGGTGTCCCAAAACAATGGAACGGCGGCCGTGTTGGTGTCCTAAACCAGTCCTCTGGGAGTTGAGTTCCATTCTTATGCAAACGCTTTCTTTTGTTCCAATAAATTTGCATAGATGCTGGCCACGTGAGTGAAAACACTCTATAGAAAAACAGTCACCACAACTGTATCAGGTAAATACGAAAATTTGTTACGAGTAGTGTCATTTTCACATCGGAATTGTCATAGCGGCGTAATGACGTCATTGCCTATTTTACTTGTTGTCGTATTTCTCTACACTGGGTTGTTTTTTTTCGTTTACGGGAGCTTGTTCTTTCAATAACCACCTTAAGTATTGGTAAAGTTTAGCAAAAAATATATGAGAGCCGCGTTAAATTTAAGGTGAAGATTTTTTGGACATCAAATGATGTCATTACGTTGCTATGACAACTCCGATAACAAATTTTAATCTTTGTCTAATATGGCTAAAAGGTTAACAACACACCATACATAAAACTAGCGTACCTAATGGGTAAAAGAGGGCTGCTTTAATTAGATTTGCATTTATCTCGCGTTCACCTTGCGCGCAACTAGAATACCTCATGTGAAGCGTTTATGACGCAACTTGTTAGCCAAGTCGTCTGAATTTTTACTTCGGTTTATTCGAACATTATCTTCTAGAATTATTGTGAAATGATAGTTTAATAAAACCACGGGTGTAGAAGGTAATCAAAAGGACTTTTGAAAAAACACGATGCTAAAAGAATTTCGAAACAAGCACACATGACATTCTTCGACAGCTTTCGAGACCATGATAACAGTAATTACCAGCGGTGTGAAGAAAACTCCGCTACTCTATCTGCCATGAAAGAGAAATTCATCACAGACACATTAAAAGCGAGGATTTCAACTAACCTCACTGAACTTCATGCAACAAAATGCTATTGTAGGTCGGTATAGAAAAGCAATGGGCGTGCAAAGAATTGTGGTAAAAATCCGGTGCATTGTGGTTAAAAATCCAGATGCATCGTGGGTAGAAATCGAAAATATTTATGCCTGTGCAGATTAGGTCTGCTGCCTTGCTCGGTCGCTTCAGGCTCGCTCGCGCGGCAGCAACAAGGAAGCAAGATAAGAAGTTTTTAGCGGGGGAGCGTTGCGTGACATCCAAAAAACGGCTACGAGGGAGATTAGGGGTGGGGTGGTTGGGCAGTTTCCCAGTAACCTAAACTGATCCAAACTTTCTTTTGTTGCAATGAATTTGTATAACTGCCGGCCACGTGAGTAAAAACGCTCTATAAAGGCAAGCACGCGTACTTGCAAGCAGTTTGTAAACATCCGCGGTTCGCCTAAGGTGTTGCCTATGGCCTTTCCAGGGTGCAGGTGTTATTGTAGAACGGATAAAGCGGCGGAAGTCGTATCGTCTCTTTGGTTCCTGCTCGCTTTGTTTTGCTGAGCCCATTGCAGTTCCGCTCTTGAAATTTGCATGTGAACCTGATTTGTGACTCCACGATATCATGCACCACTGCCATGTCGTTCAGGTTTAACACCATTGTAGAGACTTGAAAACAACCAGAGTAAAAGAAACCTGGGAGTGAGGTGGCACATCGGACTAGTTGTTTTATTGTCGAATTCTCTTCTCCACCACCCTTCGAGCTAATCATCCCTGAGAAATTCCGGAAGTTATTTATCATCTCTCCAGTAGCTTTTTCCCCTAAATTAACATGTTTCGCGTTAAAAATCACATAAAACTCCATTCCGTATTTAATATACTGAGCCAAAGACAGTAAAACCTTGAAGTTCGTATTGATTTGGCTCCCTCAAGTGACACTGACGTCACAAGAATAAAAACCAACGCCCCTTACGCATATATTATCGTGTTTTTTACTTGAATCTCAGACCCCCTCTAAAACTTTCTTAGATCACCGTTTTTACTGATCCTACTGTAGAGAATCTCTCTGTTGCGAGCCATTCAACACCGAAGCAAGCAATCGAGGTGAGTACACTATGTTATTACAGCTTTTACTGCAAATAACTCCAAAAATAATTCATATTACTGAAGTGATAGGTATAGCTACTGTGTTAAAGGAAGTCTATACTCCCGAGCAGAGCTGCTTGACGAAACGTAAACCCTTTTAAGCTGTTTAAGGAATCACGTAAGAAGTGTGTTCGAAAAATATGATCTATAATAATGATGAGAGTTATATTTCCCCCCTTATATTTTCCACAAATAGTTGAGAATTAGTAGCGGTCTTGCTAAATTATGTTAATTAAACTAGCGATTTTCAAAGAGGTAAGCTGGCATATATTTACTTTTTCGTGCTATTGAAATGAATGTAATCAAAATGTTTTGAAATTCATGAAATTCATTGATACTTTTATAGTACTGATATAATTCATAACCAATTGATCTGTAGGTTAGCCAGTTATATATAGTTTTGTAGTCAGTAGTCGCAGGTGAAGAGCCATGTTTCTAGTAAATACTGTGAATAAATTATTATTTATTAGAATTATGTTATTAGAATTATTTTATAATTAACAGTTTTGAAAGAAAAGGAAACGCAAACGTAATTTGTAAAATAAGGAAACTTCTAGTAAGGTGGAATAAAATGTAAAACTTTGTGGTGCAATCCATTTTAAAATGTCACATATTTTTCACGTTTTGAAAAAGTACTGCAGAAATCTACGGCAATAATAATCTATGACAATAAAAGGTGCCCCTGGAAATTAAAAAAAAAACTGCTCGGTAGGATTTCATTCTTCGACTGCTAAGTCAAAACCGTATGGTAAATTTCGTCCATTTGCCAGATTTTCGTGGTTATAATCAACAGTTGTAAATCATTATTTCCTTTTTTAATTGTTGATTTAAGGAGACATTTTGAACAGCGATTTTTGAAAAATCATAAATTGAAAAGCAAAAACAATTGCCAGTCTATATTAATATTATTATTATTATTATTATTATTATTTTTAATGAAAATCACTTTATATGGACTCTGTGAAAGTATTAGGACTTACTTAGAGCAAAATTGTGGGAGCATTGTAAACATCACTGTCAAAAAACCTCTGTTGAGTGACTTTTATTCGAATGATCAACACACTTTAGGATTTTATCCACGGACTCAATGGTTGAAGTTGCGCCATCTTGTACGGTATGATAAACAGCACGACAGGAACATATTGAATGGTCTTAATTTAAAATGTCATCCACAGTCTCGGAAGCTGACACCACCTTGAACAGCGTAATGATCGATACGCCAGGAAACTACTCTTAGAAGGCTACAAATTATTAGAAAATTGATCGTGATATTTATTTCGAGAACATAAACAAGTAGCAAAACAAATCAAAGAAAAAATACACACGGAAAAAACTAGCTACAATACCATTATATAACCTAATTTCTTTTAAATGACCACACCTAAAGATTCCATTCTATTTTAGAAATCGCGGCGAATCAATCTCTATTCTTGGCGTTTCCTTTATGCTTCCTCTTCCTTGTTATTTGAAGTTATCGTGATATTACAGTTGTAAACAACAAGTTGGTTCCTTCTGAAGCGGGCATTCAGAGAGATAGAGAGGAAACAAACTGAATATACGAACAGTAAAAACAAAAAAAAGAAAAAAAACCTGAAAAGCCAACAAGAAGGGACAAAACGTGTTTTATAATTGGAAATTTTGACAGCGCTATGCGTTATCTGAGGTTTGAGCAATTAATTAATGGGCGAGCTGCGCGGACAACGAAGCGCGAATGGTCGACGGAATCGCAAGCTAGCTGTTTTACAACTAAGGACATGATTATTCCTTCCTCCAAATTTAATGAGACTGGAACAATTTTGGCCTGGGCCAGATTCCCGACTTTCGCGCGCTATAGTGGCAGTAAAATAGCCAAATATGTGGTGCATGCATTGCTATTATGAAAAGATAGCAGTTTTAGCTGC